CCAGAGCAGCCTCCTCAGAAGGCCACGCAGAGAAAAACTGAGGCTCCACATGGGCAGCCATTCTTACACCTGCCAGTCACGTGAATGCAGCCATTTTGGACCATCCAGTGATCCCAACTCCCCCAACAGTAACAACTTCCTGGTTAATCTACAGATTCGTGACTAATAATCACTTGTTTGAAACCACTAAATTTTGGGGTGCTTTGATATGCAGCAATAAACAAAAAAATGATATCTAATGTTTACGATGATCCTGTGAAGCTAAACATTTCCATTTACCTGAGAAATGAGAAAACTACATCAGTGAAGTTAAGCAATTTATAGAGTGCTACACAGCTCTTATGTGACAGAGCTGGGATGAATGTCATCTTTGTCATTTGAGTGAGGAGTGATTTACAATGCTGCAGCCAAAGCAGCTTTACTGGGACAGAACTAATTAAGGGGGAAAAAAAATCAGACAACTGTGTTTCCTACTGTTTCAACATGAGAACCACAAATAAAGCAAGGTAAATTGATAAAGGTGGCAAAGATGAAATTATGCAATAAATGGACTACAGAAACTTTCTCAGGAAATGAAGACAGCCTGTCAACCACCAGTTTTATTGCCTTGGGGGCTTTACTATTCTTTGAAGAAGACAGGAGCATTTTTGCAAAAAAATTAGACCAGCAGTGTGAAACTGTGGCACATGTGTCGCAGGGGTCCTTAGATCCCTCTGTGTTGGTCGGAAAGCGAAGTCACCCCAGCACTGTCGCAGCAGCTGAGCGTCAGACAACAGCACACACAGAGGCCATGCACATCCTCAGAGAGGGGTAGCAACCTCAGGGGTTGAATCACAAGCCATAACTCATTAGTGTTTCATTGCAATGTTGGGACTTTGTGATAAGTAAGTGGGTTTGGGGCTGCCATTTGGACACCAGGTCTCTAAAAGGTTTGCCATCTCTGGATTAGAGTTTTAATTCTACCACTCGTAAACTCCTAACAGTGAATTTAAGCCCTTCCCTTCATCCTCTAAGTGAAGGGGCCCTCTAGGAGGATCCCTCCCTTCCTTTCATATTTTGAGTGAGTATAGATGAAGACCCCTCCCTGTCCTAGGTTCTGAGGCTCCAGTGATGAATGATTCTACTACCCATATTGCCAAGGAATGTGCTGTAGTGTACTGTGTGTGCTCAGCGGACTTTCTCTAAAGGACAAAGGGAAACTCTCAAATGAGAGACTTTAAGTAAGGAAGTGACAAGATTCTGTAGACTTTCAGAAAGATCATGCTGGGTACCTTCCAGACAATAGACTGAAGGCCACTAATCTACAGGCAGGACATAAGTTAGCAGACTATGCTTACAGTAAGAGAAACTGGGAAGTTTCTGATGTGAGAGAAATTAAATTTTTTTAAATTAAAACAATTTTTTTCTTAGTACCGGGATCCAAGTTGGGTCCTTGCGCTTCCAAGGCAGGCAGCAGAACCACTGCGCTAAATCCCCAGCTCGATGTGAGAGAAATTAATTAGAAAGGAGGCACTGAGGAAAAGGAGAGGTTGCTGAATTCAAGATATAAAAAGCAGAGAGAATAATGAATGTGATACTCTTCTCCCTAGTAGAAAGTTGGTTATAAACCAATAATCTATAATCAATGAATATATCACCCAGCATTCTTTATGATTATTTTTGAATGGTATATATAGATAATGCTTAATGTAACAATTTTATTTAAACTTCTCTTCTTTTATTAAAACACTGAGTTTATTTATTACACATGTGTACTTTCATCTTCCACCATTTCCGTGCCTGACCATTATGATCACTGTCCTATCCTAACCTTCAGCAAACTGTTAAACCAAGCAAAGGGTGGGGCTTCACCTTTAGAAATTAAATGGGAATTTTTAAACAGGTATTTTAGAAAATACATGTTTAGCATAGGACCTGGACAACATTTGTGAAACATGGTAGGAGAACTGCCATTCCACATTCTAAAAAGCCAGGGCAAAAACTGTTACATAACTGAAATGAGATGGAAAATTTTAGCAAACCTTTTAAACATTTTTGGGGAGTGCTGCACTGGAAATGAATGAGCCTAGGACACCACACATGTTAGGCACGTGCTCTACCAGAGCTCAGATGTCCTCGAATGCCAGAGACCTTGAGCAGCATCCCGGTCAGCTATCTGGAAGGAATTTTTCACATAATCCTTCAGCAGGGCTTACACTTTGAAGAGAGAACCATCTTTATCTTTGCTTGCCTGTGCTTTGCTTCTACCGAAGAATTAGATACTTTGTTTTGGGAGGGTTTTTTTTTTTTTTAAGGATCTGGAATTTTTCATCTTAAAGTTGATGTCTTTGAGTCTTTTACATCTAGTTTAACTGTCTCATGTAGATTTATACACTGGGGCTATTTCTTCAGCTGTTTCCTCATCAAAATCTTCCTCCTCACCTTCTTCATCCTGATTTGCAGCAGGTTGTACTCCTTTCTTCAGAACCTGTTGCCTCTCCCAGGGGTAGATTGTTCTGCAGTTACCCTGAAGGGTTTTACATCTTTCTCTTCTTCCTCTTCTGACTCTGCATTTCCCTCCACAGCTACTAAGCACTGTGCACTGACAGGCACAAGTCCTAAAACACACTTCAACCTGAAGACCACATGGGACACGATTTCAAAGCCCTCAAAGAAACTGTGCGATGTAGGAACATTTTAAAAGTCACCACTGTCTCTGCACCGGGACTGCCTTCATAATTCATTAGCCCTGCTCGGACAATATACAATTAATCCTTTCAGCTGCACCTAAACTAGCCATTCTTAAGGATAACTGGCACTCATTTTCATCATTATGCACCATAAAGTGATATTGTTTGTTGGCGTTTAGTTCCTGAAGAGAGAGTTCTGGCAGCTCCTATGCACTGCATCTCAGTGGGAGGGGCGCACACTCACAAGGGAGGAGGTGGACAGCAATAAATGGCTACTCCTGCAAGGAACAGACCCACAAGGTGCACTCATGCCGCCGCTAAATACAGTAATTTAAAAAATACACCAAGCACTTACCATGCTATAGCCTCAATGCTAGTAAGCTTATATGCACTACAGTCTTTCAAAGAACACTGCGAGGTAAAATCTGTTATCATCTCACCTTAGATCTAAGAGGCAGGATTAGCCACAACATTTATTCTTTGATTGAATCAACAAGAATATATTACTTATGTCTTATGCACCAGTCATTCTCCTAAGGACTATGAAGGACAAGAAAAAAGGTACAGCACTCAGAGCGAAGTGGGAGAGTCGAACACTGGAAGGAGAAAATTCCACTGTGGAATAGGAGCATAAGGAAGTCTGACTCAAGAACTTTTTCCTTTTTGATGGAGGCGGTTTTGGATTGTGCAAAGGGACATTTTTACCCGAGTGGGAAACTTCTGCTGAAGTGAAACATAAACTCCATTGTTACACAGAAGCTGCAGCTGGGCCACCGTCCTTGGCTGGGCCATGAATAAGCTCCCCTAGTCGTGAAGGACAGGGTTACAGAGCGGGTAGTATGAGTCAAGGCTGTGCAGGTGAGTGTGACACTGGGGGAAGAGGGACTTCAGGCCACTGTCTTCCCCTTGTCCATTTGTCAAACCAGGCTCTATCACCCCAAGGTGGATGCCACATGGGCCGGTGAGAACCATCCTGGCCGACAGCTAACTGTCCACTGAAGGGACTGCTGGGATTATTTTGTCAATGATTCTTTCCTGCTTGCCTTAGTTTTTTAAAGACTTCTAACAGGGATGAATTTGGTCCTTCCCTCCTCAAACTAAACTCCCCCCAACTAGCTTTTGGATTTCCAAACCCTGGTCCTGGCTGCATATGTAATTAGCACAGGTGGAATCAAGATCATCATACTAAGTTGGAACTTTGTGGAGACCACAGTAAATCTTTATGGTCCAAGAAAAACGTCTTCAACTTCTGATACAGAAACTGTGGTGATATCCAAAGGTCACAGGTGAGATAGCAGGTTTCCGAAACACAGACTCACTAGTTTTCTAAATCTTACTTCTATCTATACGCCATTCCTCCTGATAAGACTACTGTTAAGTTTTGATAATCATTATTTTTCCCATTTTTTGCTTAACAAAAATTCCAGGTAATAAAATTATTCTATCTCTCTATGAAGACCTAAAAAGTAGTGTGAATTTAGTATAATAATATGATAGTAAATGTTCATATTAGCTCAGGGCATTTTTTTTTCACACTCATTCTTTCTTTGAAATTGTGAATAATAAGAAGGCTCTGAGGCACTGAGCAAGAGTTTGCTTCCGTTTGTACAGGAAAGATTTGTGGCCCGGTGGCTACAAAGATATTTGATTTCCACATGTCTAGGCCCAATCTCAAGAACTTCACGATACCCACTTCCAGGAGAGCAAGAGTGCCCAGGGATTTCTGTGTTGAAAAAGAACCCAGAAAAATTCCCAGTGAAAAGCTCCTACACAATGCTATGGATGGAATACTGAAAGGGGAATAGAAGCAATCTGTAATAGCTCAGCCTTGCATTGCCCTATTTATTAATAAAGATGCAATGTATATTTTGTAGGCAAGGTTTATCATACTAATTAACTAATTAATAACCTCTACAGAAAAGCCAGACTTGTCTGTGGGCGGCTCTGCTGAATTTTAACCACCTGGAAATCAGTGTGCCAAGTTATAGAAAAGCCCTTGTCCTCCACAATCAGCTCTGATTTAATCAGTGTATTGTATCATAGGAAGGGGAGAACTGTGGATTAACACAGAGAATAATATCCTTAATTCACATACAGTGCAAACCATTTTGCTAATTTAAATGAGCAATGTTTATGGCATTTTAAATTTGTGTGTGTGCGTGGTGGTTCTGGGGATTGAACCTAAGGCCTTGTGCACGCTAAGCAAGTGCTCTGCCCACTGAGCAATCTCTCCAGCCCCATGGTATTTTAATTTAATGGGAAAAAAATCAGTTTTGGTTCAGCTGTATCTACTGAACCAGAGAAGACAGCTTATTCTGGAGCCCAGGAGGAGGACAATGTGAGGAAAGAACAGGACAGAAAAGACTTTGGGTAATAATGGCTTTCAAGGCACTGATCATTTAATTGGATTTTGGAGGTGATCCATGATGTACTGAATTATTTCCACTGTGGTACCCTGCCCTCCAATGTCCAGTGTTTGAATATTTTTATTGCTTAAGAATGCCAAGACTGCAGTATGAATCCTGGTGGCACAGAAGTGGAGTTTGAGGTAATCCAGCAAAATGCAACTTGTTAGCAGCATGGCAGTAGGATTGGCCATTCTTATCATCTGGATTCTTGTTCAACTGCCTTGATACTGTCTCAAATACTGCACATACGCAGCCATAGTTGGCTGCAGGTATAAGGCCTGATCCTCCGAACAAGCCTGTGCAGATACTGGTGACAACGTTGCCATAAGACTGGGCATCAACATGACATCAAACTGTTGAGGTCGGGCCACCAGCTGCATCGTAGCATTATCCACAATCATGCTGTCTAAGGTGACATGAGGATAGCGGGATGTCACCTCCTTGCAGCAGTGGAGAAAGAGTCCGTCTCCTAGTTTCATAAGGTTGGCCTTGTGCACAGCTGTCACTTTTTTGCGCCCCATCTTCTGGGCCACCTGGAAGGCATATTCAGCAATGCGCCAAGACTCTGCCTTTGTAATGATCTTTAGGTCCTCAATCACTCCTTTTACACTTTCATGCTCTAGGTTGCTGTACTCACCCTCTGTGTTCTCCCAAATAACCAAGATGTCTATGCCCTGGTGACGGGTTTCCACGTTGGGCAGATTCTTAAAATGGGTAACACTGGCATAGAGATCTCGGGTAGTATGCAACATGTTGTTGTAGGATTGTGAGAAGGTGGCTGGGTGTAGTCGTGCCCTTTAGAGGCACAGAGTTTCGACGGACTGCCAGAATAGCATTGCAAATTTCCCCCAAACAACAAGTAGAGGTCACCCACACCTCCTTGAAGTCTACAGGCATGCACGTGTGTGAGAACACAGTCTTGACGTGCACCATAAGTTCGGGTCTGAGGTTGTCTCCAGGAATCATAGTCACTGTGTGCCATCCACCATACATGGCTGGTGGTGGGATTCGATGATAAAAGCCAGTGTTCCTCAATGGGATCACAGGGCCAAGTAGAATTGCCCGAGAATGGCCACGAATGGTAGGATGGAAAACTGCCTTCACAGAGCACCTGGCTGTTATCATCAGCATCTTCAGTGTCACCATTATTAAGCTGAGATTTAGTCAAAATCTCATGTGAAAATATGTGCTCCTCTTCTTGGATTGGGCTGGCTTCCTCCGGTGGAGTTCTTGATCCATATCCCTCTTGTAGGTCACAATTCTCTCTCCATTCTTGCATTCCATGTTTAACAGACATTGCGTGTTCAACAGAAGAGAGCTGAATGGGAGATGTGATGTGTTGCATAGTGAGAAGTACAAACATTTCAGAGTTGGATCATTCATTAGGTACATGAAATGTGCTAAGCTTTGTATAGTAAGTTTTTAAAAGTATACACCTTATTTGGAGAGTAGTTTTCGATTCACAGAAAAATGGAGTGGAATGCACAGACAGTGACAATATGCCTGCCCCAACGTAAGCGCAAACTTCCCCACAAAATCCTGCGGGAGAGTGAACATTTGCTGCAACTGAGTCAACGTGGACACATTATTATTGCTCACAGTCCATAGTTTACACTACTTTTCATCTTTTTAATTCATGAAGTTTACCAGTACATTTTAGTTATACAATATGCTGACATTCATCATTGGGATTGTGTACCTGTGCGTGATGTATCTTGGCTCTTATTTTTCCCCATTCCCCTGCCCTCCCTTCAACCCCTCCATCCCTCCCTATCTACAAAGCCTTTGTTTCCATTTTTTTCCTTTTCTCATATTTATTCATTTCCTTTCTTTCCCCTCTCCTTCCCACTTCCCCTTCCCCTTCCTCTTTGGACTTTTTCTTCCTATTTTACATGATCTATTATACATTATGATTCTCATCTATATTTTCAGTTTCTCACATCAGAGAAACTATTCAGTATTTACACTTGTGCCCTATTTATTTCACTTAAGAGTATTGCTTCAATGTGCATCCATTTGGCTATAAATATCTCTACTTTCTCACTCCTTATGGCTGAGTAGTCCTCCATTTTATTAAAAA